ATGGTTAAAACCCATGAAGATGCAGGAGTAGGAGCTTTTCTTTTTAGGGCAGCACGTCGAGCAGCCGATGAATTGTCTCTGATTTTCGACTCCGAGCGCGAGGCTCAGGACTCAGTTACTGAGCTAGAACCCGCTCGGAGAAAAGCCCGCATCAAAGCTGCAGAAGTGAAAAAGCTCCTGCAGCTCCACATGGATAAGCCCATGCATTCGGTCTACTTCAAGACCATTGAAGACCGGGGCTTATCCAAAGAACTGACTTTCGCTTTTCTCAAGTCAGGCGGGCTTAAATCGAAAACAGAGGGGTTCATCATGGCATGCCAGGATGGGGTTTTCAACACTCTCGTCTACCGTAGCCGTGTCATGGGTATGGAGGTCCCTGACACAAATTGCAGGGCCTGCCGCAGGGCGCCCGAGACAATTATGCACCTGCTGTCTTCTTGCACGGTGTATGCAGTCTCGGCCTATATCCATAGACACAATGCGGCATTGCGAGTGCTCTATTATCACTTGAGGCACTCGTACGGAATAGACGAGACCCCAGTGCTGCCCTATGCTCCGGGGGATATTGAGTCCGTTGTGGAGAATGAGAGGTGCCGAATTTATTGGAACTTCTCATTCCCCACCCTCAGGCAAATACAAGCTAACAAGCCTGATGTAGTCCTCCTCGACCATCAAACCAAAGCGATGTTCGTGATCGAGTTTTCGGCGCCAGCCGAACCGAACATCGTTTTGAAGGAGGAGGAGAAACGGACTAAATATCGAGATCTTCTCTTCGAACTCCGCCGGCTCTATCCAGACCATTCTGTGGAATTGGTCATCCTGATTATCGGCTCCCTAGGAGGCACACGACACACGCTACTCTCGGAGATCCAGAAAATCCCAGCGTGCCGTGATAAGGCACACATCCTGGCTGGTGGTATGCAGAAGGCCGTCATACTTGGATCATTGCGTCTACTCAGGGCACACGGTACTTGGTCCCAGTGATTACTCACCTCACAGGCTGTGAGGAGTAGTCACTGGATTTCATCCAGCACGACTCTGCGTGACGTCGGAGGCCGCAGGGTCGTGACTGGAATTACATGAACTTAAATGAATAATAATAAATGTCTTTATTACCAATTAATGAAAGATAATTAAATTTTGTTAGTGCATAGTTAGGGCGAGATTCAGTTTGTATGCATTAAAAAAAAAATGTACAGTATGAAATATAAATTTTACATTTAACATACATCTGCTCTTCCATCTAACCCCAAAAAAAAGTCAAAAACAGCGAAAATAATGATAAATAATTTAAATCAATTCATATTAACACAGAAAGGATAAAAATGATACTAGTTTAGCTCTTGACCGAGGGAATAAAATTTTTTCCGAAAATCTTATTTATTGCTCAGATGGATAGTAGTCAAAGAGAACTCGTTTAGGTTTATGTAGTGATGAGCGAGTGAAATCGTGGGGTAAGTTATTGAGACGGTTAGCAATACAGTAAGAAAACGATCGTTTGAATGACTCAGTATGGTGACGAGGTATAGTAAGAGTATTTCTGTGTCTTAAGTTTAGAGAATGTACATTGGTTCTGAATTTTATTTTATGATACAGATATGGTGGAGAGTGTTCCTTCACTAGCTTAATATAAAACATGGTAGAGTTCATTTCTCGACGATTTTTCATATGTAACCATTTAGTAATTCTGAATGTATGACTGATATGTTCAAATTTGCGAATACCAAAAATTAGTCTTAGGCACAAGTTTTGCAATTTTTGTATTCTATTTGCATCTAATAAATTTAAACAGGAATTATAAATAATGTCACAGAAATTTAATTCAGATAATACAAGTGACTCACACAGTAGGATTTTAACCTACCACCTGAATCAACAAACAGACTGTCGGTATTACTGTGTGGAAGACGAAACGGCTGAACACATATTATCTTCATGATGTCTTCATGCTCTTGCTCAGAGAGAGTGTGGTTCGACTTATTTGGCTTTACCAACTCAGAACCTATCGATTTCAAACGAATCTTCCCTAATTCAACCATGCATGGACTTTGTGAGAAGATGTGGATTTAACAGTAAACTGTTACCTCTAGGGCAACAATAGATCCATCGAGGGTCGCAGTGGAGGGGCAGAATTCGCCCCACTCACATGGAACCTAACCTAACCTAACCTACATTGAGATTCCTAGAAGAGAGCTCGGCCTTAACAAAAACATCATCGAATCAATGATAGTATCCTCACTCACACTCACCCGTTCTATGCGCGGTTGAAAATAGTTTTTTTCACGTTTTTTATGTAATATTTTCCCACCAAGGTACATTTAGATTTTTAATCAATACTCAAAAACTAACATAAGCGTTGTTTCATCTCACAGATTTTTTTTTATAAATTTGCTGACGATGAAGGATTGATCCTTCGAAACACGTCCTTATGTCCATGACCGCTGGTCATTAATAAATTGTTTATGTGGTGGAGTTGCGACTGTTCTCTCACCCCACGTGATTTATATCACCTCCACTGTAAGTTATGGATCACCTACGTTGGATAATATCCCTCATCATCAACTGTCATCAGGTCAGAACTGGTTGTAGCAGAAACTAATGTTACCATAGACTACAGAAGATTAACTATAAGACAGTTCACGTTTTGACTTCTGACAGTTCTCGCCTACGTTGGATAATATCCCTCTTCATCAACTGTCATCAGGTCAGAACTGGTTGTAGCAGAAACTAATGTTACCATAGACTACAGAAGATAAACTATAAGACAGTTCACTTTTTGACTTCTGACAGATCTCGCCGCAACAATCGCTGAATTCTGCCGGTTGAAGACTACCGGGGCCTTTGAAATCGCTATCTGATTACCTGTCAACAGACCGCAACCGTTTGACGGTGTAATGATTTAGGGGAAAGCAAAAAACGCAATGTTGGGAGTTGGGCTGTACCGATAAACGAATCCCAGGAAGTAAAATATCTGCTAGAATTCAGTAATCTCTGATGTTACGTTCCAATCCTGAGACGCAAGTCATCATGGGAAGATAGGCAACTACAAAATTGCTAGAATGCTCACAGTGTTCAATCGATTGAACAACATTATAGTAGAGGCTGGGAGAGAAACAAAAATTCTCCTGGCTGATGCCACACAGAACATAATCAATCAGATCCTCACGAAATCTATGCAATGATTCGTATATACTTACTTACTGATACAATTCCTTTTTACAACACTGGTGAGGGTCAAGAGCCTGGAACCGTTCTGCTAGTGCCAAGCGTTAACCTGGCTATCATCCAAAGACAATTCAGAATCAATGGAAGGAATTCTTGCAATCAGTTTTCGTGTACATACCAAATGTTGCATAGATATTGGAAAAACGGAACTTAATGTTCTGCGTGGCATCATCCAGGAGAGCTGTGGTATTTCTACCGTCATCTGATTGAAACAACCACCTTCGCCGCAATTCCGTAGAGAAATTAAAAGCAATTTATAAAAGGAGGAAGGAAAGCTCAATTTTGGCTCTTGGACCCATCAATTCTAAATTGATTTTTGGTAATTAAGTGCGCTCTCTCAAGGGTACGGGACCCTTTTCCTTGTATTACAACCAAAATAGTTATTAAGAGCTCCTTGTGTGCTCGTCAAGTTTCCCTTCTGGGACTTGACTTTTGATTTTTCAAGTGCGCGTTCTTAGGGCACGGGACCCTTCATTTCAAATGAAAACTCGTTTATTCCTCCGAAACCTGTTTATTATTATCATTCATGATATTATGATGAGAGACATCGGCAACTTTTTTAGAAAAACAAATAATGTTCACCACCATGTAAGTCAACTTTTGGTTTTATAACAATTTGTATATTCCCACATGTCTTTACTTGTAGTAATTTCTAAAATACGGCTGATGATAGACTTATATAAGTTCAAAACATGTCCCGTTGAATAACTAAACATCATTATTGAAGTTGTGGAGACGACTTTGAGTTTCCCTTCCTGCTTCTAAAAATTCCACTCCACTTTGAGCAAACATGGACATCTACCAGAGATTAAACGCAATTTGTTGAATCATACCTTACATGTGAGACAATAAGTGAAAATGTAGATGCCAAGCTAGATTTAGGTTTTTTGGTTCATGATTAGTATAAGGACTAGATTATAAGTCGGGCACGGGTTAGTGTAAGAATAGCTTCCTAGCTAAACTTCGCCTAGTGCACATACCATCTATGCCCCATATTACTATGTAATATTCTTTGGAGGAAATGAAGACGGATTATTATCATTATCTCCCAATGTTCTGAAGATGCCTTCATGTTTTTAACTTAATTTTTTATTAACTTTTTTGAGAACTGCTAGGTTTTTTCAATAAAATAATGAGACAGCAGCAAGTGATCATAGTGTACCAACTGAGGCAATTTACTATGGTATTCGTGCCTTTCTTCACCCAATCGAAGCTTCTGTTTAGGAGAACGTAAGAAGGATATCGTCAAATGAAACTATCTAGATTTATTCTGATAGTCACACCGTTATAAATACTTGGCGGTTACATGATGAAAATTCTTAGTCATTGTGAAGATATCACGAATGATACGATTCCTGCAAAAACTTTTGTCAACAAGACATGTTTCGCTAACTGAATAGCTTCTCCAAGTGAGAAACTTGTTCATCAAATGTGATCAGGTAAAAACAATCAAGTCCAGTTTGAGACTACGTGAAGTCTATAACTTGATACTCTGTTTGGATTTCCAGTACCCAGAAGGCAACAATGAGGGTCAATCGAATGGTCAGAAAATGATATAACGAAGGATTCACTGGCCTGAAGCCTTGGTCAACAAACTGTGGGAATTCCATCGGAATCAGCCAGAGATTCTTCAGATAATGATGGAAAAGCGAGTTTTCATGAAACAATATCGACCAATGACAATGTTAGAGGTTATTCGTTATAATCATTTATGCTCTTAGAGCAATTATTCAAAATCATTTTATGAAGGCCTATTTATAACATTGCATTGTTTGTTTCATTCATAAACTCAAAAATTAATGAAATCATTCAATATTGAGCGTATATTTCGAAATAAATATCATTGTACATATAATAATGATTGGTGAATTTTGGAAATACTGATTTTTTCAAAACCAAGTGTGATAATGTATAGGAGTCACAATTTTCACGCTCTTCTTGATTTCGAGATAGATTTTGGTACTCTACATTCAGCTTGCATCTGATCTGCTTTCTCTTGATCTGAAACTGTTCTGGAGGGCATTATCTTGACTGGTTCCGGAAACGGATTAGCCAACTTGAACATTTTCAGGGGCAGCACCACATTTTTCTGAGTCGTAGAAGTAGTGAAACTTCTATAACCTTTATCTGCACTACTGATGGAGGTGGTGCATTCTTGTTGAGCTGATTGATCTTCGAATGTCATCTCGAACTGATTCTGATGATCTGCAGAGCCAGCCTGTTTGTTCCTCTTGTTGAACACAAACTTAGAGCAGGGACTATTGTCTCTGCAAACGTTGTACCTTATAGGATTATTGTCGCGATCTTCTGGAGAATCTTCTGATATGTTCTCCTCTATACTTGGCAAACGGTTCACTACAGGAATCACATCTAATTTGGTTGTGAACTGTCTGATTCGGGTCATGAGTATTGGAAATATTGAACTGGTTTTTAGAGAACGAGACATTTTCACCAGAATATGAAAGCAATGTTTGTGTGACACTGACATCAGCTAGACATCGATTCCACAGAGTGATTGATAGGGGCAAGTTTATACATACTTGCCACTGGCCGTTAAACGCTGTTAACATTAACTTCTCAATTGTCATCTGAATACTGATAACTCAAAATAACAGTATTTGATTACGAAAATATGTTTTCATCTCTCATCAGATCGGGTTATTTTGCACTTATAATGCGATGGTTCTATTTTCGAATTTAATAATGAAAATGTGAAAAAACCAGTATTTATCGGAATTTCACCTTATTGTTCCGCCTGTTGGATAGGCATATTTTATAGAACTATTTTCCCTTCTTTCTACATCATTGAACAGTTTATATAACGAGATATACTCCAGAGACATATCTCAAATATTATGAAAATCGCCTAGAATAGTATATTGTTTAACAAGCACGGAATGATAGTGATTTCCTACGAGAATGAAGTTTGCAGCATGAGCCATAGGCGAATGCCTCAATCATTAGAGTAGGAAATTAGCATTCCGTGCAAGTTGTACACTATAATTTTTCTACGGCTGTCGTAACAGATAACAGCGGCATTTTCGATTTTTTCGTCTTGTAGCCATCTGATTTTCTGTCAAATAATGCTCATTTATCAGACAGAGCTGTCATTGCTTGCAATTTGACATTCCATGAGCCATGATATTCTTTTGAAATAATAACACAATGGAGTCATTGTGATATCAGATACGGAAATAAAATTGATGACATACAAAGTACCTCATTGATGTATCGAACACAGTAAATCAAGGGCAATTTTGTGTTATAGCCGTAGAAAATAGTATATTGTTTAACGAGCACGGAATGATAGGAATTTCCCACGAGAATACGTGTGCATACTATGAACACAGCACACACCAATTTTATGAACACAGCTGAACAATAGTTATTTTTGTATCTATAGAGCGCGAAATGCTACTTTGGTGATCGAGATCTGATTTCTCTAACGAGGCGTAGCCGAGTTAAAAAAATTGTCGAGATGACCAAAGTATTTCGCGCTCAAGTTGCAAACAAAATTTTTTCTACAAACGTCAAGAAACATAGTTCTTAAGTAATATGCTTAGCTTGATGTAAAAAATAGAGTTGAACTAGCTTAAAAAGCCCTTTCCGTATCCTCCCTAGGTACGCACGATGTACCACGAACATAATAGGAATTTCCTTTCGTGCGCTCCAAGAGATAAAACAAAGTTATTGTTGAACATTCAGAAATTAATGATTTTGTGGATGCGCGAAGTATAGGTACTTCGCGCCCTGTTTTACTCCGCACATTGTTTTGTGCAAGGTATCATGGTAACGTAGGAAACTTAAAAAAAGTGTCACTTCGCAATTTGTTATCAATGCGCGAACCTTGTAATTTTTTGACGTTTGTAGAAAATAGTTATTCTTGTATCTAGAGCGCGAAATGCTTCTTTGGTGATCGAGATCTGATTTTTTCAACGAAGTGTAGCCGAGTTAAAAAGATAGTCGAGATGACCATAGTATTTCGCGCTCGAGTTGCAAACAAAATTTTTTCTACAAACGTCAGAAAATATAGTTCTGAATTGAAAATATGCTCAGTTTGATATAAAAAATAGTATTGAACTGGCTTAAAAGGCCTCCTACTATCCTCCCTAGGTACGCACGATGTTCCACGAACATAATAGAATTTTCTTTTGCGCTCCGTGAGATAAAAAAAAGTTATTGTTAAACATTCAGAAATGAATGATTTCGTGAATGTTTGCTCCATTGGGGATCATAAAGTTGAAATATAAATATCTCACATATTTCACATAGTAATGCGCGAAATAGGTACTTCGCGCACTGTTTTACTTCGCGCATTGTTTTGTGCAAGGTATCATGGTAACCTAGGGAACTGAAAAAATGTGTCACTTTGCAACTTGTTATCAATGCGCGAACCTTGTCATGTTTTGACGTTTGTAGAGAAAATAATGTACAATTATCATTTTAGTTTATGTATAGTTTAATGTTTTTTATTGCACTAATTCGAACAATATCTTTATTAAATCCGGCTATAATGACTAACATTAATCGAGTTATGTAATTCTTACATCACCTTTTTGCGATATTTCAAATCTGCAAAAATCATCAATTTATCGTTGTATATGAAATCTTGTTCATTAGTTCTGACTATGCATAAAAAAGCTGAGGCATTTAACTTCTCTTGGCCTAAAGTCGATCGTAGATAGTTTTTCATCACCCGCTTTAAGCAAAAAAAGCTTCTCTTACCCGAACAATTATTATTCAATTTTCAAGTCATGCACTCGAGTTTTCTATATAAAAAGTTGAAAATTAACGGCTGCCATACTCAGTCAAACCATTAGTTTTGTATTCGTTAAAAAAGGATACATCATATATCTTCAGAAAATTTGGTTTATGAGCCCATGATGCATTTCATCTTTCAAATTTATGGTACTAATTCTGGAATAAATTGGAAAAATCATCATCTGCAATGATTTGACACACCAGTTACCACAGAACACAAACTCAATTGTTATTGAAGATCTAAAATGTAATGATGCTATAAGGCATCACTTATTGTTATATGATTATAGTTTGTATGTTCATAAACAATTTGGGTCGCTCCTTTGCCTTGAACTTATTAACACCTGATGACGGGTAAATCATGGATAACCTCAGGAACAAAAATTTTTGATTTCCATGAATTTTTATTGCATATCATGGGATGAAGAAAGTACCTATACTTTGCGATATACCTATACTGAATTTATTATTTTTACGGAATAAAAGATATTTGATTTGATTGCAACGTATGAGTCCGTATCCATATAATATCGAAATCTCCAAGTCAGACAGGAATTGATAAATATATATGAAGCTAAACCATGAATGAACCACCACGAATCTCTAAACCCCTCTCACCCATTCAATGTCATTACTAATTCCACAAGTGATAAACAGTAATGAAACAATGTTAATTGTCACATTATCATCAACATTATCCTAATGTAACAACATGTTCGCTAATTGTTTATTCTCATAAAAAATTCATGAAAGTATCGTGACATTTCGGAAGTGTAAGACAGGAAGACTTGGGGGCCATAGATAGATGTACCCTTCTTGAATTGTAAGTCAGTGGTGGCAGATGTCCTTCGGCGAATTTATTGTTCTACTTTGTGACAACGAAACGGTAACAGTATTGCATTTGGCAGGTGAATGTCTGTCTATGTCTGCAAAATTGAAAAAGATATAGAGGAAACCGCCGAAAATAATTGGAGCACGCTAATAGAATTCGAGTGTTCATTATAGCGAACCATATTTGGCGACCATAGGCACATGGAGATGAAGAACTATTTGGTTTATTGATGAATAGCATTCCATGGACACAACGTGTGATTGTTTGAGTGAAAATTACAATAATAAAGTTACCAAAATGATGTGTAGGTATTTTACCTTATTAGTCTGGAGTGAATTTCTTCAACCGTCATAGGACATTCAAGCCAACGCCGTAGAAGAGATATGAAAGGTTGCAAGTCCAATAAAGATAGTTTCCAAGTAATTTACTTGAAAATCAATTTTAGGTCGTCATTTCTCGTGTCATCTTCTTATCCAATTATCAAGTATAATCATTAGTTCAGTTCTGTAGAAGGAATATTCTCAGATATAAGTAATTATGAACATTAAAAAATGTATATTTATAAAAAGAAATACATTGAGAATTCGGATCTTCTTTATGATAAAATATCAATTCTTTCTCGCTCCATTCAACAGAAAACAAGTATTTTCATTTCACGATGAGAATTTGAAAATAAATATTCTGAAGTAGAGAATTTGCATTCTCCTTCGTATAAAGATATGCAAAAAATATCATTCTGAATATTTAACAGTTAACAACTACTTTCCTGGCGATTTGCCAAGTCGAACATTGAATTATATCTGTCGAAAAGGAGACTATATCGAATTGAGTTTGTCCATTGGAGCAGTTGAGGTAAGAGTTTTCGACAGCTTTATTGATTTTCGAGGTTTCTAGGAGGTTAAGTCTTTTCCTTTGTCACAGATATGTAAAATTTCAACGTTAGAATTGAGATCAAAAAGTTTGTATTGATAATATGCTTAGGAAAATAGTATTTTTCGAAATTATGTTCTTTGATACGATTGTGTTCTGATACTCTGGTTTTGAACTTTGACCAATGTAGCAAACTTCATAATCATGAATTTAGCAATTCAATTCATATGGAATCCAGATTTCTCTAGAATAGCAATCTTATATTTTGTGTTGACTAAGGCACTTCCTAGAGTGTTGGCGGACTAAAAAAAAAAACTAAAATCACTGGTTTCTCCGAGGAAAATAGACCCAAAGATAGGGAGAGAAAAATATTCAGATGTTGAAACAGACGTGGTCGAAAAGTTATTTGAGAATTTGAGTATAAAATAAAATAAATGGATAGGAAATATGTTATCAACTGCGATTCGTTTAATGATATTCAATTCAGCTTTGAATTTGTCTTTGTTTGAGGGTATTGTATAAAGAAAATTTCTGGCTGTATGGGTGGAACGAATTGAAAGGTATAATATCATCAGTATTTGTTGGTTGTCTTTATTCATTCTGTATATCAACGATCTGCCAAGCAATATTCCTCAGGCCTCCACAACGATGTTTGCCGATGATACATTATTCCTAATCAATGGTTCAAACCCACAAGAATCTACCCTGAATCTGAACTCGACATTGATAACAATAAATGATTGGTGTGAAATAAACAACATTAGTGTAAACTTTTCCAAAACGCACTGTGTAAATTTCTGCCAGAGGCCTTTATTAGATGTAGTTGATGTTGCCTTCAATGTAGCCTTTGTAGATGAAAGTAAATGTCTTGGTTTCTTATTGGATTCACAATTGAACTGGAAACATCATATTCAACACCTCAATAAGAAATTGAGCAGCAGTTGTTTTGCTTTGAGAACCTTGAAAGCGAATGGTCTATTCATCGAAACCCTAAAAATGGTTTATTTTGCGAATTTTAACTCTCATATGTCCTATGG